ATCCCGTTGCCGGTCCCGGTCTGGTACGGGGGCGACACTGAGGGTTGCGATCCATTGCCGGTCACGAGAAAAGACAAAAAAAAAAGAAAATGAATAAGTAATCTCGAGTTGAGTCTCATTTATAAGGCTTTTTTATGCTCTCATTTGAACAGGATCTTTCACTTCCGATGAGGTGGAAATTAAATGAGACTAAAGAGAGCAGTGGTCTGACCTTATATATTTTATAGTACATGATTCCAAGGAGACATTTAAAAATGAATATCCGAGTCTGAATTTCTCTTTTTGACAAATTAAAGTGACAGTGCTAGCTCAATTGTTCTTTTTAATAGAATTTAACAATATAGAATTAAATTAATAGAAGGTAATAGAAATTTGTGAGGGCTGTTGCATCAAAGTACTTCAAATAACACACAAATTTGCTGGAGTTCTCATTTACTGCTTTATCAAAACATTCAGAATGAAGAGAAACAAGTCAATATAGTTGTGGTTGGAGTGTGTCGTCATCACCGCACTAGGGGTCATTTGTCAAGTGCCCACTATGTACCTGCTCTCTCCAGAATCCTTTTTGAGATCATGTTGAATTATACTGTCCTGGGTTAGACTCTCTTCTGGGCTTGATTAATGTGAACCTTATTACATGACTTTAAACCTCTCTAAAAGCTTTTTTGTTTGTTTCCNAAAATTTAGTGGCAGTTATGTCTGAGTAGGATTATGAACGATTTCTTTTCTTTTTTATATTATGCATTTGTTTCAAAATATGTAATTAACAGCAAACATTTTCTGATTATACAGGTAGTGAATATGATTAAAATAAATAAAAAGTAAAGGCCAGGAGAAAACTCTTTCAAAATAAAAAAAAGATATGTATATAAAATTATGTTTAACCCCCTACAAAGATAATAATTTACAAGATTTATATTTAAATTATTAAGGTATATTTATCATGATCCTTTTAATGTTTGAAAATGAACTACTAAAGGTAAGTGTGTGTGAAGGATGAGTGTGTGTGTGTGTGTGTGTGTGTGTGTGTGTATATATATATATATATTTTTTTTGTCTTTTTCGTGACCGGTAAGGGGATCGCAACCCTTGGCTTGCTGTCGCCCACACCGCGCGCTGAACCAGTGAGCGCACCAGGCCAAACCCATGGCGGGAGCACCGCTGCACTCCCAGCACCTCACTCTCCCGAGTGCGCCACGGGGTCGGCCCAGAATGAGTGTATATTAAGCAGGGTTTAGAGATGATCCTTTAGGGCCCAAGTCCTCAATGTGTGGCCCCTGGCCTAGCAGCAGTGTCGTCTCTCGGGAACTTGTTACAAAGGCACATCCTCGGGCCCCAGACCTACTGAATCAGAAAGTCTGGAGGTGGGACCCAGCAGTGTGCGTTTTAACAGGTCCTGCTGGTGATTTCAACGCATGCCAGCCAAATTCTGAGAAATACTGCTTTAGGGTTTTGAGTTCTGAGACGAGGCCAGAACAATTTCTCAAAAATTTTATGCTAAAGAGGGGGGGAGGGGGTTTGGGAAGTGATAGGTCAGGCAAAGGGCATAAAGAAATATCGTGATTTATAGAAATGAATATGCTAATAATAAAGAAAAATTTTAAATAAATAAAATGTCCACATTAAAAAAAATTTATCCTAGAAAATATCCACCTAATATTTCTCTTCTCTCTCTTTCTGTCTCATTTCACCCTGTCCTTCTGTGTCACTGTGTCTCTTTCTATCTCTCTGCCTCTCTCTTACACATATTTATATTTTTTGTTGTATTTTTTTTTGTTTATTCATATATTCTGCTTGTTTTTCCAAAATATTGGAGGCAGCTTACAGAGATATGTAAAATACAAAAATATACTGACAATAGCAAACACTCATTTAGTGCTATCTACCTGTCAGGTACTGTTTTAAGTATATTACATATAGTATCTCATCTGATTCATAATAACAACCCTATGAAGCAGTTATTATTATCTCTGTTTTACAGACGAGGAAGCTGAAACACAGGGATAAATAACCTGCCCAAGGGTAGGTGACCTGTATGTGGCAGAATCCAAGTAACTAGGTTCCGAGGCTGAGCCCTCAACCAGTTCACTGTGCTGCTTGTTAAAGATAAAATTAGACAGGAGTAGGGATGAACGGAAAGTAAAGAGGAAAGATGAATGCACAGTCTACTCTGCAGAGTTTTAGATGGATGATAATTGTGGCCTGTGGATTTGCCTTTAGCTCCAGCACAGAGTGAAAAAGATGAACTACAAGATTCATAATCACCAAAATATGGAAGCAAACCAATTCTCAGGAAGGTCACAACTGAGTCTTGAGAGAAAGATTTCACGTGACATATCCTCAGAACTATGCCAATGTAATTTTCACTTAATTCCTTTTTTGTTTGTACGATAATTATTTCTTGAGCACCTTCTGTTCATTAGGCACTGTGCTGGCTTCTTGGGGACAGAAAGAGTAAAACATGCTCCAGATCTTAAAGATAACCAGGGTCTAGGGTACAAGAAGAATGGGTGTATTTTCCTTGGGCTTTCACCCACATCAT